TAGCGACCCCTGCCGCTAACAGGCAGCACTGTCCTGCAGCCTCCAAGGATTTATTTGGTTCCCAGACCCCCAACCTAATGCCCTCCTTAAGAATTTTTAGATGTGTGTGTTTCCTGATGTTTTTCTGCACTTCCCTAGCTTTGGAACCCTGCTCTCTTCCTCCATCATGATCACAGTCTTCCTGTTCTCTATCTCTGTCTCTCGTCCCAGAACCCTCTTTGCACAGTAGGACTGAAGCTCAGCATACAAACCAGTCTGAAAAACTCTTCAGAGGGTTGGAGAGGTAGAGTAACGGGCAGGGAACGTGCCTTGCATGTGCCCACCTGGGTTCTATCCCTGGCGCTCCATACAGTCCCTGGAGTGATTCCTGAGTGCAGAGCCAGGAGAAACTCCAAAGTAAACAAACCCACTTGAGGCTGGAGCCGCAGTAGGGGTGAAGGAGCCAACCGGGTTTGATCCCACCTCGCCCCCAACATCGCTTGCCCCCCCTGAACAGGCAGTGTGCAGACTTGGAGTCCCTGGACATCACTAGGGTGGTCCTCTTTTTTCTCTCTTTCTTCCACTTGCTTTTTGTTCTTCCTTTCATCTCCTCTGTCCCCTCTGGGCTGGAGCACCTTGAGAGTAGGGTTCCTTCCCAGACATGTCCTGCCACGTCCTGAACCAAGACCAGTGCCAGAGTATAGCAAATGTTCCACAAAGCTTTGTAGCTGCTCCTGGCTCTCACTGGTCCTTCTGTGGCTCGTGAGTCCCTTAGGATCACTGCACATTGGCCCCAGAGACTTGCAAGCATTAAGGCTCGGTTTATCCAAAGCCTTTTACCCTTCTTGTGTTCCACCACTGACTCTATCTCCACTCAGGGCTCTCAACTCTCCTGCCCAGAGACGGCATTGAAGGAGGTGGCTTGTCCCTTCACCCTGGATGCTAACACCCAATGACCAGTCACAAAAGCTGCCCTGCAGCAAGAGTCAGAGACACATGCCAAGGCCAAGCCCTCAGGTAGCCAAAGCAGTGAGGTTGTTATTGTTTCTGACAGTTTCCTTCTGGACTGGCATCTTGTTCTAAGATGCAATGTGTGTCTGGAAGTTTCTGCGGCTCTGACCATGGATAACCACCACAGGCAGCTGCCATAGAAAAAAGGGACCCACTTGTTTGAAGTAGGAATGTGGTGTCTCAAGTGAGAGGTTCATTCTCTTCCCCAAAGAGAACATTGTCTATTGTCAGGAAGAACTAAAATGAAAGTCACAGGGGCAGCGTGATAGGCAGCGTGTAGGGTGCTTGTCATGCATGCAGCTGGTCAAGGTTCAAGCCCTGACACCCCATAGGGCTCCCTGAAAACACCAGGAGTTATCCCTGAGCACTGAGCCAGGAGCAAACCCTGAGCACACCTGGTTGTGGCCCCCAAACCAGAAAGAACATACAAATAAAATAATTTTTTAAAAAATAAAAATAAATAAAACCATGCTATTTCAACTTCTAAAAAACAGCAGCATATTCATTTCTGGGACCAACACCAAAGTGGAAAAAGCACTTCCCATGTCAGTAGAGCTGCTCACTGGACACCAGAGTCTGCATCAATAGAAAGAGAATTTTAAAAAATCAGTTCAAGGTGCTGGAGAGCTAATATAAGGGTTAAGCACTTGCTTTGCATGCAAGGGACACTGTCACCATATGTGATCCCTGAGCACTGCCGGGTGTGGCCCAATCCCACCCCTCAAAAAATTTCTTTCAGAAGAGGTCAGGGATGTGGCTGAGAGGTACTTGATCATTGTATAACTGAAACAGAAACACAAAAATTTGTAAGTCTACCTCATGGTGTTTCACTAATAAAAATTTTTTAAAATTTAAAAAATTTAAAAAAAAAACCCAAAACAAAAAACAATTGCCTTTCTCCTGCAAAGGCTTGGATTGGATCCCTCGCAGTGCAAAGAAACAGTAGGATTCGCCCTGAATACAATGGAGCACCATGCAGCATGTCAGGGGCAGAGAGATGGCCCTGTGGGCTGAGGGCATGTTTCACCCGGGTCTGATCCCCAGTACCCCATGAATCCTGAGCATAGAGCTCAGAATAGGTCCCCAGGACCACAGGCTGTGACCCCAAACCAAACCACTAATCCTTTCATTGGTTTATAACAAAGGGAAGTGTAGAAAGGGATGAGTGAGGACCTCGAGCTATTTTGTTTCTGTGGTGTAGGGGTCAAATTGTGGTGTAGGGGCCAAACATATACCCCTAACACAGTCCCGCGCCGGCCCAGGAGGGTGAGGTGGGACAGGGAAGATGGTTCTCCATCTTCTTCCTTATAGAAGTCTCCACCTTCTTCCTTACAGATGTAATGATTTGGGGGCAAGTGACTTAAAATTGCTGGGTTTGGGGGCCTTGTCTCTGCGAGTCCTTTATACTCAGGTTCTAAACTGCTTAGCCCTCAGTGGGACAGAGTTGGGCTTGGATTCTGTGCAGCTCCTAGTCAGTGTTTCTTGGGCCACACCCGTTCAGGGTTAGGTCCTGGCTCTGTGCCCAGGGATCTGTCCTGAGGGACTGGAGGGGACCATATGTGGTGCTACAGATCAAACTTGCCATATAGGCAAGTGCCTTACCTGCTGGACTCTCTCTTGTGCCCCTCAAACAGGCCATTTATATACTCTCTGGAGTATAGACAGACCACTTGGAGGTCCCTTATGTACTCCTCTTGAGGTGGACTACACTTGCCTATGCTCAGAGCTTACTTCCGGCTCTGTGCTCAGGGATCAGTCGTGATGGTGCTTGGGGGGTCATATGGGGTGCCGGGATCAAGCCTGGATTGACTGCATGTCAGGCAAATGCCCTCCTTACCCACTGTCCTGTGGCTCAGACCCCAGCACAGTTATCTCAAGTATACGGGTGGCCCCTCGGCCCTCCTGACAGCCAGGGCTAGCTGAGGGGTGCACAGACCCTCGCAGCCACAACCACACCCCTGTACCCCCCTTCCCCCAGCCCTGGGATTGTGACCTTATCCTTATCTGTCTCAGGCCGGGAGAATGACTAGTGACTGGGTGCAGGTGATATTTTTATGCTGAACTCGGGGTTTTCTTGCTGCCAAGAAGGACACAGGCATGCAATAGGCAGGGAAAGGCTGCCTTTCCAAGGCGACTCTTGAAGGCCTGACTGGGACCCCTCAGCTTGGCTCCCTGTGCCTGGGATGGGTCCGGGCCGGATGTGGGGACAGCGCTGCTCTGACCTCTCACCTCGCCTTAGTCATGTCACCTGTGCTCGGGTGTCCTACTGCTCCCTACGTGTTGTGAGGCCAGGCCCGGGAGCAGCTGCCACGGGCCTGACGCCGCACGGACCTCAGCACCAGGCCCTGCCCTCAGCGCAGGCTGGGCCTCTCCGCCCACACCCACACACCTCCAGTCACTTTTTTTTTTTCAAATGAGCAGTGAACTCTTTTGGAGGCTTTCCCAGGTGCCAGCTGCTGCCTGCTCTCTGGCCACCTCGCCTCGTCTAACCCTCCCAACCCTGCCAGGAGACTCTCAAGCCGTGCCTGGGCCCCAGCAGGGCAGAGGGGCCTGAGTTTGGAACTTGCAGAGTCTCCTGACTCTTTTTTGGCAGTGCTCAAGGACCATTCCTGGTGGTGCTTGGGGATCATAGGTGGTGCCAGTGATCCATCCTGAGCTAGATGCATGCAAGGCTCCCTGCCCACTTACTGCTTTTAAACAGTATGTTCATAGATGTGGATAGATGAAGTTACGGGTCTCTCTGGAGTGATCCTTGAGCACTGCCAGTAAGAGTCAGGAGCCTCTGCAAATCCCAAACTCAGGCCCCTCTGCCCTGCTGGAACCTGGGCATGCCTGGAGAACCTCTGGCTCGGTTGGGAGGGTTAGGCAGGGCGAGGTGGCAGGTAGTGGGGTGGGGGGGTGGAAAGCTTGGCAGGCTCCCTAGTTTGGAGGCTCCTCTATGGTAAATGGTGCCCCTCGTTAGGGGCATGTTGATCGCTGTTCATGACCCAGACCTCTCAGGTGACCAGGAGGTTGTGTGGTATTTTCCCAGGTGAGCCAAGGGTCTGCAGTGGTCATGCTCCTGCAGAATCCTGGGGCTGTTTGGGGCATGACACTTTTCCAGTTCACTTTCAGGCTGGAGGCACTCTGCTTTTCAGGACTGCTCATAGCTGGGAGGAAGGAAGAGTGGAGATCCTCAGACTTCACCTTTTGCTCTGTGTGTTTTTTGAGGGGTGGGGTGGGGAAGGCCTCAGCTAGTAAAATAAACCAAAAGAGAACCCCAGACACAGCTCTCAGCGGTTGACTCTCTGCCGTCCTCCCTGAACTGGAAAAACCCTCTTTCCCCTAGCCCCTCCGGGACCCCCATTTCTGATACCAAACAGAGCCCCTCCTTCCTGCCAGCTCCATCCATCCGACTCTTCTGGTTGTGGCCACAGCAGTGACGTTGGCAGGCTGGTGCTGAGTGTGCTAGGGACTGGTCACGCTGCTTCAGCGTGAGCTCAGAAGCCCGTGTCAGGTGCTGGGGACTGAACCAGGGGCCTGGAAAGCACACGCCTTCCATCTCACAAGATTTCACCAGCCTCAGGAAAGGCTGCAGGGGCATGAAGTCTTCCTGCGGGCACATTGAAGTCATGTCCAGACCCAAAGCGAAGCACGCAGGGGACTTGCTAAAAGCACATGTGCCGGGCTGGAGCTATAGGTAGGGCTTTTGCCTCGCGCGCAGCCAACCAGAGTTTGATTCCCAGCATCCCATATAGTCCCCTGAGCCACGCCAGGAGTAATTCCTAAGTGCATGAGCCAGGAGTAACCCTGTGCATCGCCGGGTATGACCCGAAAAGCAAAAAAAAGCACAGGTGCCCTGCTTCCAGAGGGTCCCTGGGGAGGAAGGGTTCCGCATGGGGAGCGCGCAGGGCCAAGGCTGTGCCCCCCGATGGCCGAGAGCGTCAGGATGCAGCGGCCGGGGAGCGGGCCCTCGAGCTGAGCACGGTGGGCCCCGGGACAGTGCCGGGCCGGCCCGCTGCCTCGGGCACGTAGGCGCCGGCGGCCACGTCCAGCCCCGCGCACACGCCCCGCCGGCGGGCAGCCTCTTATCTCTGGGGTCAACAGTCAGGGCGCCGGGGCTCCGAGGAATGCTTCAGATCCCGGGGCGCAGCCCGCGTCCGCCGCAGGGTGGCCGCGGGGCGTGGCAGGCCGGGCGCCCCCGCCTCTCCGCAGCGCCTCCGATCCGGCCCCAGAGCCCGACCTCGGCCTCCTGGCGCGCGGCCAAGCGCGGGCGCGGGGCGCGGGAGGAGCCGGGGCGGCGGGAGGCCGGGCAGGGCCCTGCGGGTAGATACGGGCCCGCGGCGGCCGCTCGGCGCAGTCGGGCAGCGGGCGAGCGGGGGCGCGGCGCGGGCGCCGTCTAAGCCGGGGAGGCGGCGGCGCGGGACGCGCGTCCCCACGGGCGGCGACATGGGGCGCTACTCGGGCAAGACGTGCCGCCTGCTCTTCATGCTGGTGCTCACTGTGGCCTTCTTCGTGGCCGAGCTGGTGTCGGGCTACGTGGGCAACTCCATCGCGCTGCTGTCCGACTCGTTCAACATGCTGTCCGACCTGATCTCGCTGTGCGTGGGGCTGGGCGCGGGCTACGTGGCCCGGCGGCCCGCGGGGGGCGGCGGCGCCTCCTACGGTTACGCGCGCGCCGAGGTGGTGGGCGCGCTGAGCAACGCCGTGTTCCTGGGCGCGCTCTGCTTCACCATCTTCGTGGAGGCCGTGCTGCGCCTGGCGCGGCCCGAGCGCATCGACGACCCCGAGCTGGTGCTCATCGTGGGCGCGCTGGGCCTGGCGGTCAACGTGGTGGGGCTGCTCATCTTCCAGGACTGCGGCGCCTGTCTCGCCGGCTGCGCCCCGCGCCGCCGCCGCCACCCGCGCCGCGCGCCGGGGGACCCCTCGGGGGCGCGCGCCGCCGCCAAGGACGAGAACGGCGCGACGGTGTTCGCCAACGTAGCAGGTGCCTTTCGGATGCAGCCTCCGTCCCCGCGCCCGCCTCCTCCTCTTCCTCGCCGGCTCTGGGTTGTGAAGGAGCCACGCCGTGTGGGGGAGGGGCAGCGACTTCTGCTGGGCTGCTCCTCTTCTGTTCGCGCGCGGTCCCCCAGCTCTCTTTCTCCTCTTGCATCGCCCCGGGGGTCCCCCTTTCTTTCACTGTGTTTCCTTTCGCCCTAGTCTCTCTGCGTAGGAATGCGGTTTCCTTGGAAACCGATTATTATTACTGCTGATACTGTTCGGATGCAGCTAACAAGAACAAGGACGCTGGCCCCTCGGCCTTTCCAGACTGTCTTCTGCGCTCGCCCCCCCCCCCCCCCGGCCCTCTTGCCCCCCGCCGCCTCCCTCCCGCCTATTCTGCGGTCCCCTGGTGTTAAGGTTTTGGGTTTTGGGGCGCGTGCGTGCGTGAGTGTGTGTGTGCGTGTGTTCTTCCCTATCTCTCTTTTGGGTCATGACTTGAACTCTGAATGAAATCTAAAACTGGGTCATTAGCTTTATCTTAAGGCCAAAATGCATGATCTTGGGGCTCTCTCTCTCTCTCTCTCTCTCTCTCTCTCTCTCTCTCTCTCTCTCTCTCGTGAGCGAGTGTGTGTACTGTCAGAGAAGCAAGGGGGTATTAATAAGAAAAGAATAGACCTTTTTTTTGAGTCCTTTGGTTCTTTTTGTTTGTAGAACTTATACACAACACAAGGTTTCTTCTTTGAATGCAGGTGACTCCCTGAACACCCAGAGTGAGCCAGAAGAGACCTTGCAAAAGGAGAAAAAGTCGGATGCCCTGAATATCCGAGGTAGGAGGGACCTGCGGTGGGGGCAAGAAACCATTTCAAGGGCTGGTGCTGGGCTTTGCCACTGTGTTTACCTGTCAGAGTGTGTTGGAAAGGAAGCGGGCAGCAGGGCGCACTCTGACCCCGGGCTCTTGCTTCATCCTGCATTGATTAGGACGCACACATTCGTTGCTAATGATTGATCCTTGCCTCTGCTTCGGCCCGTGCACGCTCGGTGCACCTGGCCAGGGCAGTGGCCGTCGCTGCGTTTGCGCATGCGTGGGAATCACTCGCAGGCTGGCAGCATGACCCGCTGGAACAGAACTTTGAGAAGCTGGGGAGAGCGGGGGGGGTAGGGGGGGTGGCAGACTCAGAAACTCTGGATGTTTCTGCCTGGATGTTTCTGCCTGGAACGTGCTCTATGGGGGAGGGGGGTCTTTCCTTCCACTTCCAGGCCCAAACTGGGGTTCTGGCGAGACATGTGGGCCGGAGGACGAGCAGTCTTATGCTCAAAGTCATGAGTAAGGGTTCAAAGGTTATCTGGGGAATCCAGCGAACCCTCCTCTCCCTCCCCAGGTATCAGGGGAACTCCAGCAAGTCACCCCAGGATTAGCTGAGAGTTTTGATGACTAGTTGCAGCCCTTCCCCTTGAGATGGTTTGGGCCAAGCCTGTAATGGGCTGAGATGGAAAGAAAAATGAACCCCGGAGAATGCCCCATGCTGGAGAGTCTCATGTCTGATCTGCAAAGTGACCCTTGAAATGGACCCTCAGACTAAAGCAGAAAAGAATGATAGCAGTTCTTATATGTTGTCTTATAAGTTTTTATTGAGCTCATTTGAGTGAGTTCAAATGCACTGGGAGGTTTTCTGAAGAGCTTGGCAACTCACCATTTTTTTTTTTTTTGGAAAGAGAGAACCAGTCATAGGAATAAGTTATATTGTAGGTTTTTAAGACATTCACTGTCATGGTGTTTTAGTGTTTCCAAGCACTCATTACTAATTTATATGATACAGAACTTAGGAAGGAAGATATGGGGTTGAAAGAAGTAAATAACAATCCAGAGGTTGTCCAAATAATTTTCTGTGGTCTTGTTTTGGGATCTGTAGCATAAGGGAAGTTGTATGATCTTGCTTATTTTATTGCAAAGCTTCTGGGTAGAATGTAGCATCACTTCATGGAATCTTGATAAAAATGGTAAAGAAAAAAATTTAAGTTTAGCAATCAAAAAAATTAGGTTTAGCATTCAAAAATAGCATTGCTGGACCTGGCAGTGCCTTGTGGGCCCCAAGCATAGACACATGTGCTTCTGCTTCTGATGGAAAACGCCCCAGGATGTGTTCACCAGGACGAAACCACTCCTCTTTGGGTTGGGACAGGGAGAACATGACAGGATTCCATCTCCAGACATTAATGGAATGAAGTTTTCAGCCTTTTTAAAAATGAAAAAATAATTTGAGTCATAAATTAATTTAGCAGATTATTTTTAGCATTTAGCCAATTAATAGGAATTGAATGAGATACTAGAGAAACTTATAATCACTCATGATAGGTGTTGCTTTTTTCATGAAGTGTTTATTTCAGTGTGCAGACACCAAGTACATGCTTAACTGTGGCTTATGGCAAGAAGTTTGAAAGGTACTTTATGTAAAGGATAGGCACCAATTATGAGGTCTCACAAAAGGAAACTGGAATTTTGGAACTTATAGGAGCAGCCTATAAGGGTTTTTTTTGGCAGCCTATAAGGTTTTTTTGGGGGGAGGAGTGTTTGTGTTGTTTTTGGTTCACATTCAGAGACTCTGGGGAGTTACTTCTGGCTCTGTACTCAGGGATCACTCCTGGTGGGGCTTGGGGAACCACATAGGATGCTGCGGACTGAATCTAGGTTGGGAAGCTGTATATACCTGTTGTACTCTTGCTCTTGCCAAGGATGCTACATATATGAAGAAGAGCTTAATTTTTCTCCAGCCTCACTACCCAAATTACATTCCCTCCCTCCTTAATGCTTTCCTGTTTTATGATCTGAGATAAGTCACAAAGCTGCACTGTGACTCAGTTTTCCTTAATTGTCGAATGGAGAAGGTAGCCACCACAGTAATCCTTAAGATAACCAAAATGCCCATAGCATTCTTAAAAAAAACTGGCATCTACATGTTAGCTAGGACATAGTGTTCGTCTCAACGCAGTGAAAACGAAGTTAAGAGGATTTACAAAATATTTGGTCTTCATTTTTCTTTTTTAAATTATGAACTTGATGAAACATTTTTAAAAGCGAAGTGCCATTGGCTTAGGGAATTCTGTTTCATGTGTACAGCATGGTACTTTGACATTCAATGAACTGCCTTTTGCTCCCCACCAAAATTGTGGTTCCCAACCATCCCCCTATGATTGAACCCCCAAAAGTGTGCTTCCTAATGTCACCCTATGATCAAACCCCTGACCCGCTGGTACCCACCATGTTATTCTCCTAATCGGAGCATTTGTCTTTATTTTCTGTCTGGGATGCTCAGACTCTCTGTTACATTTTCTTTGTGGCTCAAGCCAGGAACTGTGTATTAAAAAAGCTCTTTTTGGGCTGAGACTGGGGGCCAGAGATGGGGGCCCAGAACTAGAATAGGGGCTACTGAGTGTAGTTACTGAATCAGGGTTCTGTTGTCTTATATAAACACTGCATCAGAAGGAGATATGGGTATTTTTTTTATTGCAGAACTTTTATTTTTGGGGAGTTTGGGTAGCATTGTCATGACGACATTCAGTGTAGTACAAAATAGTATTTTTGGGTGATGTGCTCCAGAACCCCCAAATGTTGCTGAGAGGAAGAAGAACACATAGAGAATAGAGAACACATGGAACATATAGAGAACACCGAAGAACACAACAAAGAACAGAGAGACCAGTGGGCCACTTAGTGGTAGAGAGGAGGGAATCAGTCAATATCCCGTAGTATGATCGATCCCACTGAGCGAGCCAGTGGGATACAGGGAGACACAAAACCGATTCCCATCAGCCACTGCCTGCCGGGTTGGTGTTTTGGGGTCACCTGCGTGCAGGTGAAGCACCTAGAGCTCTGGTTCAGATGCAGAATCAGGAGCATCAGGAGAGCTGAGAGGGGCACTGGGGAGTCCCCACTTTCCCACAAAGTGCCTGAGGTTGGTGGTCTGCAGACCCACCTTTAGTGGCTGGAGGATGACATGGATTTGGTGAAAGGAATAATTTTAATAAAAATCTTGCTGGCAGGACATTCACTGCATCCCCCAGATTTCAGTATTGGTCTCCCTGCCAGGTCCACACTCAGTTCGGCTGTGGGGTATATCGTCTCTGGAGCCCTTAGGGACAGTTCACCCAGTGAAACATATCCACTGTTTGGTTTGGTTTGGGTTTGGGTTTTTTGGTCACACCTGGTGGTACTTAGGGCTTATTCCTGGCTCTGAGCTCAGGGACCACTCCTGGTGGGGCTCAGAGCCCATATGGGGTACTGGGTTGGCTGCGTCCAAGGTAAGCCCCCCTACCGACTGTACTGTGTATTTACTAAAGAATAAAATACGAAGGGGCCACATGCGGCTCTCTCTCTCCGACGCTTGTGTTTGGTAGTCTCACGCCGCTTCCCTCAACCTGGGGAGGTTGATGGCGATGGGCAGGTGAAGGGAGGAATGAGGGCCAGGCTGGTTGGTCTCAGTTGCAGTTTATTCCATGCCCATCTCCATTCTCCTCTGATTCTCCTCCTGCTTCTTCCTCCCCCATGCTACTTCATTCTCCTTCTTGCTCTGGAGTCTCTAGCCCCCTCTTATAGCCTAGTTAAATCCCCAAGCATGAGGGGTTGGGGCTTACACATAGGTGTGGTCACAATCAGTAGGGGTAGCCTTTCCCTCCGGGGAAGCTGCTTCTAGGACAGATTCTCATTTAGCAGGACGACCCTCCCAAGAGTGGAATCCCATGGGTGTGTTTCTCCTCTCCTTGTCCAACAAACATATAAACATTCATAATATTAATCATTTGTATGGACACAGTAAGAGATGCATTAAGCTTACAGAATTGCTTTCCTGGGGTCATCTCGATCTCAGACTATAGTGCTCAGGCCAGATTAGTCTTTCCTAACTCTAGCCAGGTCCTAATCTTGTTATTTTTGGATCATGACAGCATTTGTCCTTGACTATGCTCTCAACTTATAGTTGAACATTGTGGCGCCTTGGCCTGGCCCATTTCTATGCCAGGGTAACTCAAAGCTTGCCGTTGGCCCATTCAGTCCCTCATCAGGACCCTGCTTTTGGGGCGCTAGGAACTAAGGGAAACTGAGGCTTAAGTTGAGGAAGGAGATGCCCCGGAGTGAGGATTGTTTGGAGACAATTCACTCTCAAGTTACAAAAGCATAATATTAACTATCTTCTTTTGTCCATGCAAAAAGGACATTGCTTTAAACTAAACTACTCAAAAAATATAAGGAGAGGAGAAAGGCAATATTTCACTCAGACATATAAAATCATAGATTTCTGAGGAATCTGACCTTATAAGTAACAGAGTCTGATTAGGGGGAAAAGATGGTAGACCGATTGGGGAAGAGAGCATGGAGATACAAATAAATACAGTGGAATGAAGTGCCTCAGGAGCATTGTGATAAATCTGAGCTCCCCATGGCAAGGGAAACAGGACATACCAACGTTATCCTAAAATGTTTAGAGCTGGATTCCAATAAACACAGAGGAATGGAGGTGCTTCAGGAGCACTGTGATGAGTATCACCCAATAAACCTAAGCTCCCTGTAGCAAGGGAGAAAAGACAAACCAGTGTTATCCTACACTGTACCATCTCTGCAGCCCGACAGAAGGAGTTTAATTTGATGGAACTTGTGGATTTTTATGCAGTCCCAATCTTGAGAACTTCTTAAACCAAATTCACTTTAGCTTGATTGGAGGTTACTTGAGAAGACACCTTGGAAGGGAAAATGGGTCCAGGAAAAGAAGACAACCAAAAGTGTTTCCCTTTCTTTTAGCGGGGGGGAATTTTGGAGTCACACCCAGCAGTGCTCAGGGGCTACTCTCTCCAAGCTCTGTGCTCACTCCTAGTGTTGCTCTGGGAGTCTTGTGTGGTGCTGGGATTGAATTAGCATCAACTGTATGCAAGGCAATTGCCTTAAACTCCTGTACTGTCTTTCCAGCCCTGAGCTTGCTCTCATCAAGATGTTTCCAATGGGGCTGGGGGTGTGGCTCAATAGCAGGGTGCTTATCCAATAGGTATAAAGTTTCAGCTTTGGCACTCCTCTCCTGTCACACAATCTGCAAAAAATAAACAAACATCAAAAATAATTCAGAGAGGCCATAGTACAGTGGGTAAGGTGCTTGCCTTGCACATGACTGGCCCATGTTTAACCCTGGCATCCCATAAGGTCTTTCCAGTCTGCCAGGAGTAATTCCTGAGTATGGAACCAGGAGTAACCCCCGAGTATCACTGGGTATGGCCCCCAAAACAAAAATAAAATAACTCATAGCACAGAGGCACCCACATACTGTGTGTGGTCTAATTGGTGTCCCCCGAAGTGTGGAGCAATGCTCAGTCTGCTTCCTAGTGGGCGAGGAGGGGCAGTGGCTCAGAATCTTCCTGGCCTGTCCTTCTCCCTGTGTCCCCAGGGCCCAGGACTGGGGTCCTGAATGCTGTTGGATTTCCTGTTTGCCAGGCATTTCTATTCAGCCACTCCCTGGGCTGGCAGGGCTGGCGGAGGGTCCCTGCTCTCATGCAGAATGCTCAGTGATCTGCTTCCTTCTGGCAGGGGTGCTCCTGCATGTGATGGGGGATGCCCTGGGGTCAGTGGTAGTGGTGGTCACTGCCGTCATCTTCTACGTGCTGCCCTTGAGGAAAGAGGACCCGTGTAACTGGCAGTGCTACATCGACCCGAGCCTGACAATCATCATGGTCATCATCATCTTGTCCTCAGCCTTCCCCCTCATCAAGGAGACAGCTGCAATCCTGCTGCAGATGGTCCCCAAAGGTGTCAGCATGGAAGCACTGAGTAAGTTGGTCCCCCACCCTGTCTGCTGGGGCACCTATCACCTTGTTTTGTGGCCTGGGATAATAACTCAACTCCAGGAACCCAAGCTCCTCTGGGGGCAAATATTTTAGACTATTTTGTGTGGGCCAAGCTCTAATTCATGGGTTGTTGCCTTTCATATATGTGTCTACATATATTGAGGGGCTCCCACGGTGTTCAGGAGATCCAGGGGCCCCATGGGTGATTGCCCTGCAATGCTGGCGATGCAGGGTTGCCGGAAAGTGTGTGGTGGTCTCTAGTGCTTCCACTTGATGGTGCTTGGGGGGCCCTTGTCATGCTGGGAATTGAACTTGGGACAAGCTCATGCCAGGTATGCACCCGAGCCACTGTACTGTCTTCCAGTCCCTCAGAGGTGTATTTTAATTCAAGAAAGGCCACTGCTGGGCCACACACCTCATCTTGATTCCCCTTCCTCTGAAACTTTGAATCATCCACATTTTGGTCCCTACTCGAGGGGTCCTGCAGGTGACCTGCCTCCTCTGCCCTGTTTAGGATTCGACTGGTTCCTACCCTCCTTCATGAACAAAATCTTTTCTTTGCTCAGGCCCAACAGAGGCCAATCTATCCCACTCAGAGTGATATACACCTGAGGACTGAGTTCTTTAGAGACTTTTAGCATTGTTAAATGGCAGTGACCCAGATGTTGGTGAGCAGCTGAATGGGGTAACTTTATTTCCAGCATTTGTAAATGGAGATTACAGGGCTCTTTTTGAGTTTTCTTCTTGAGGGGCCACATCCTGCACGTGGTGGTAGGCTATGTGGTGCCACAGATGGAACTCAGGGTTTTACAGCTGTATCTTGCATTTCCATTCAGCCATTCCCTGGGCTGGCAGGCCTGGGTTTGACCTGGCACCACATATGGTCCCCTGAGCTCCACCAGGAGCAATCCCTGGAGCCCAGAACCGAGAATAGGCCCCAAGTGTGTTCCCCCTACCCTGAAATTTAAAAAAAAATTGAGAAGTATAATAATAGAAAACGTTTGGGTGAGGAGGGTGCCAGAGATTGAAGCGGGGGCTGGGGGGAGGGGGGATATGAGCTCCACCTCTGAGCGAAATCTCGAGGCCTCTAGCAATGCTCTCAGAGGTGCTTGGTAACCTGTTAGGTATTGTTCCAGTGCTTCACCCGTTGTTCAGCTTAGTTCTTCATTAATCCTTAGCTACAACCTTATCATCATTCCTAAATTAAGATTAAGAAATCAGGCACCAGGGTTTAAGTAAATTGCTCAAGGTCAGTACAGATAGTGAATGAATGGCCTGGGATTCAAAGTCGAGCTGGCTTCTGGGTCTTTGCTCAAATCCCTTTTTAGTACTTTTTGCTAAACACACACATTTTTTTTTTTTTTACGGTTCACTTATTACTTATTCTTTTTTTTTTTTTATTTATCTTTTTTTTTATTAGTGAAACATCATCAAGTATACTTATAGACTCACAAATTTTTGTGCTTGGGTTTCAGTTATACAATGATCAAGTACCCATCCCTCCACCAGTGCCCATCCTCCCCCACCACGGGTCCTATCATCCCTCCGACCCCCCATCCTCCCCCCTCCCCCCCCCCCCCGTCCCACCCTGCCGCTGTGGCAGGGCATTCCTCCCTGTTCTCTCTCTCTTCTTTTGGGTACTGTGTTTTGCCAGAGAGGCATTGAGTGGCAGTCATGTTTGGTCTATAGACTACTTTTAGCATGTCTCTCCCACCCTGGGAGGGTCTTCACAACACCCTTTATTTGGTGCTCTCTTCTCTATCTGAGCTTCCTTCTCACCTAGCACATGTGGCTGGCCTTCAAGTCATGGAGCAAAATTCCTGGTACTAATCTGAGCCCTTCCTGGGTGTTAGTCTCCCGTTTTAAACACACACATTTTAAAAAGTTTGGCAAGTACACAAAAACCTAAGGTGAGGAAATAGAACTATCTCATAATCACAACACCATAATCTTCATTGAGTGTGTGAGTGTGTACTGATGTTATGGGGGGGAAAAAAAGAGTGAGAAAAGGAAAAGGCAAGGGAAAGGAGTTCTATCATGTGTAATAATATTAGCTGTTTGCTTAGTTTTTATCACTTGAAAATCACTTATACATCTTTTCTTATCTCTGAAAATATTCAACTCTTGTGTGGGTGGATTATATTTTTATTGAACTATTTTCCTTTTTTCCTTATTAGTGCATAAGTGTAGTTAAATCTTGTCCCACTAAGTAGTTGGCTATTTCCTTGAGGTTAAATGTCTAGAACTGAAATTGTTGGCAAAGGCTTTTATTTGTTTGGTTAAAAAATTTTTTAACTTTTAAGTTGATGTAAAACATTATATAGGTTTCAGATGTATGGCATTATAAATCAGTCTGTTTATGCTCATGCATATGCATTATGTTTGCCACCCAAAGTCTAGTTTCCACCCTTCACCCTATTTTTGATTTACTCTTAACCCTATTTTGATTCACATTGCAAAATATCCTTTCCCCCCATTATTTTTGGTGGTGTCAAAATATTGAACCCAGGTCTCATGCATGCAAAAACGAATCACATAGGCCTCTTAAGTGTTTTCAGTTAGAAAAACGTATACGTACGGAAGGTGTGGCTTCCAGCGACAGTCCATTCCCGTGTCCCTTCCATGTTCCCTGCACCACCACGGACTTCTTGTTGGCACACATTTTTCAGAATTTCTATTTTATTCATTCATCTATTTAATTTGGGAGTTCAGGGCCACACCTAGCAGTGCTCAGAGCTTACTCCTGGCTCTGTGCTCAGGGATCACTCCTGGCAGTGCTTGGGGGACTCTCAGCACTACCAGGTCTTAGAAGGAGGTCAGCCACGTGCAGGGCAAATGCTTCACCCTGTGCTGTCTCTTCACAGCTCTGGAATTGTAATTTTTTAAAAAAATAATGTAGAAGTACTGCTATTTGTTCAGCCATTGATTAAGCTGATTGAATTAGGCATGAACTCCACTGGAACTGCAATTTTTAATGGGCTGAGTGAGTACATCAGATAGAAGAAAGAATGGGAAAATGACTCAGAAAGATGAGTGTGGTTCTTCTGGTTACTCTAAATACTTGGTATCATTTTCATGAGAGGTGCAAAGGGCTGCTGCCCTCTCCCTCTGTACACCCCCTATTTCTGGTTTCTGTAACGGCACTCACCTTGCCTCCTCCTCTCCATTTCAGCGAGCAAGCTCTTGACTGTGCCTGGAGTTAGCAGCGTCCATGAAATGCACATCTGGGAACTAATAGGTGGCAAGATCATCGCTACTCTGCACATCAAGTACCACAAGGACAGGGGCTATCAGGACGCCAGTAAGAAAATTCGAGAAATCTTCCACCAGGCGGGAATCCACAATGTGACCATCCAGTTTGAACAGGTGGACGGGAAGGAGCCATCGGAACGGGACTCCCAGGCCCTCTGCAGCTCACCCTGCATCTCAGGGGCCTGCAGGAAGCATCTGTGCTGTCCCCCCAGGGCTCTGCCGCTGACCCATGTCAATGGCTGTGCTGAGCACAATGGCTGTCCCCGGCTTAGCCCCTACCCTGATGCATGCCTTGGGAGTCGAGAAGCCACGGAAGTGGCAATTGACGTGGATGGCGTGAGTGATGGTGGACAGGCAGTGACAAAAACTCAGGAAGGCCAGAATTATGTCAACAGCACCTATTTCTAAACTGGGCCACGTGGGCAGACTATATAGACAGGCCCTTTGGTACAATCATGTCCGAGCTGGTGCAAAGGGCTGCCTGGGTGCAGGCCGATCCCAACCACACTGTGCATGGTCCGTGTTCAGTGAGGGGCCGGCCGGGTGCGAGGCAGAGCAGCCGTGGCAATCCTGATGTGAACAATCCTCCTCGCATCAGCCTGGAAGTTTCAAGCTGCTCTTCGTCACTTTTGCTTGGAACCATCATCTTCTGAGTGTGCTAATCTCTTTATCAGGGACTGTGGCTTTGACCACAGCTCTCACAGTAGTTATGTTTGAAACTGATTAAAACTGCTTAGCTGGCCGCCAGGTGAGGACGCTCATGGGCTGATGCACTGCAGCTGTTTCTTCAGAATCAGAAAGACAATTGCTCTTCTCCCCCGAAATTCTCCTGGAGGATCATCTATGAGGAATGTTAGGGAGCCCTGTCACTACGGAAATGTCGTCTTTGAGTTGTTTTGGAATAAATATAAAATGAATTATCTCCAGAGGTATAAACGGTTCAGAGAATGTCAGTGGAAGGAGATTTGATTGTAGGGGAAGAGGGTAGGAAGAAATGTTTTGGTGTTACCAATTTATTTGCTGAGGTGGAGAGCAAATGAACATGTACTTCCATATGTGGCCATAGCAATGAGTTTTAGAGTGTTTAAATGTTTAAATATATGAAACGCATCTCCCTCCCACTTGGAAGTGTGGGCTGTCTCTGATCCCTTACCTAGAACACTCATACTCTGAAATTGTCTGTAGGGACAGCTCATAAGGGACTGTTCTCATCCATTGCTTCCTCCATTACGATTGTCCAAATTTCCTTTGAGTCTTTATGCGACCACGTGGATCTAAGGGGAATTTTACTAGGAAAAAAAATGAATATTACTGGGGGAGAAGAAGGCATTAGTTGAGTATTACTTCCTGCCAGTTCTTTCATTAGACATATTTTAAAATATTTTTTATAGCTGCCAACTGGTACCTTGATGGAGGAGGCTCTGTTCAAGTGAGAAATGAGAATGAGTTTAATTGCTCCCTTGAATGTCTTGAGGGCACTTTCTTCTTCTGTCTTTGACCATCAATTATCATCAAGTTCAAATAAATTGATTGGTGTCTGATTTGAAGCCATCATCAATCTGTATGGGTATTGGAGAAGCATCTATGCATGAAATGAATTGATCACGCAGCAAGCAGCCAATCCAAACAGTCTCAAATCGTGATGAAAATGGGCGTACCTCACCCTAGAACTGGAATCTTCTTTGCTGGGTTGTAAAATTGACTGAAAAAAGTTCATCTTTTCAATTCTGGGCACTGAGTGGGTCCACAAACCATGATCAGAAGTGCTGGGTTAATCATGAGAAAAAGCTCTCACAGTTTTTTTTTTTCCTGCATGAGAATGTGTCAATTTGAAATTCTATGGCTGCAATAAGTTACTGTGATTGGTAGGGCAGGAATTGTTTTGTGTATCTGAATTGATATTGGCCATGATTTAGGCTAACAGAAAAATCCCTAAATAATTTTCATTACTGGTTCTTATTGAGTTCTTATTGAGTTAGTTGTAGATACATCATAACTAAAAGGAGGTAAAGTATAAGTCAACATTTTAATACTTGTTATTAGAAATCTAAAAGGAAACTCTCACAAAACAGAGGATTTCTCTATGAAATGCACCATATGGATCAAATTCCCTTACATAAATGGGACCTATGAAGCCCTGAGCAGAGCCAAAGAGAGATTTGTTTCTCACTTTCAAACAGAAACGGCTAATTTGATTTTACATCATGCTGCTTTTATTGACGGGGAAAACAGCAATTTTACAGTTTTTGTGCAGTTGGCTAAAAGAATGCATGCTAGTTTACATCTGAATAATGCCTTTAATTAATCTCCAGAGTATTTTCCTTGAAAGGAAAGGACACTTAATTCCAATATAATTAAATCTAACCTTGGAAAAGCATCTTCATGGACCCTTTTATGAACATAAAAAAATTCTGGAGTAGAGTTCATAGGAAATCTTATGTTTCAAAGACATTTATGCTAAGAGTTCTTAATAATGTTTCGGCAGTGGACAAAGTACAATACTTTCGTTTTAGTTTAGTTAGGGTCTTTGGTTGTCACGTCTGAAGCCTACCAGAAGGTGATTTTACTGATGTCTACTCTCTTTTGTGGTACATTTCAGTTCCCTTGAGGAAATATGCGTTTCTCTTTTTGCTCTTTGAATCAGGTCTGCTGGTAGTTGGTGCTCATGAACTGTAGATTTAACTTTTTTTTTTCTTTTTTGATTTTGGGGACACACCTAGCTATGTTCAGAGCTCACTCCTGGCTCTGTGCTCAGGGATTCACTCTTGGTGGTGTTTACAGGGCATTATGGGGTGTCAGGGATCAAACCCAGTTCGGCTGCATGCAACTGACCATCTGTCCTATATCTCTGAACCCTGAACTGTAGATTTAAACAGCTCTTGGTCTCTGAGATTTAAAACATTCTGCCCCTTAATTAGGGCTCCTGTGTGCTTAGAACATTCCAGAGAATTTCCTCAACCCCCCCCCCCCCCCATTCTGTTTTTTTTTTTTGTCCATTTACATTTTTATTACTATTTTGTTTCATTAAGATAACAGTAATATATGCCTGTCCCTTTTAAAAAAGAACAGAAAATCATTGACCAGAAGTCTCAGGTATCTTCTGTGTGTGGTAGACCAGCTGTTGTATGGGCTAAGAGGGCGCCATGGAGCAGCCTTCCGGCTTCCTCTCCCTGTTCTGCAGCGCCCCCTCCAGGGAATATGGGGTTTCTGCTGTGGCCCAGTTTCCAACTCTGTTTTGGAAAACAGAAATATTGACTTTTTTTTATGCTATACAGCCAGTAGTCTCCACAGTGAGAAGGAAGACATGTATTGATTGTCCTATTTATTTATCAACAAAATTGAGAGATACCACTTCATGAAGAATTTTTAAAACGCTCTATATGTAGTTACTCTTATTATTATTTTGTTCTTATCTGGCCAGATGCTGGTGTGGGCCATCCAATTTGAAATAATTTTTTTCTTTTGTTTTTTGAGTTACACCCAATGATGCTCAGAAATTACTCCTGGAGGTGCTTGGGGGACCATAAGGGATGCTGGAAATTGAACCCGGATCAGCCACTTACAAGGCAAACGCTGTGCTATCACTCCGGCCCATTGAAATAATTTCTTAAAAAGTTCTCCATAAGTAGTTACTATTATTATTCTTTGCTTTCAGCTGGCCAAATGCTAGTGCGGGGGGGGGGCAGCCTGGACCACCAAAGTCCAAGAGGAATGGGTAATTTAAATATCAGAGAAAACTGAAGAAGATGGAATAAAATAAGGCAACTGCTCTGTGAGCTAGTAGAAGTCTTTGTTATGACTTTTTGAATCTTGACATTGAATATTTTAAACGGAATTATTTTTTGGTTTTGGGGGAGCTCTTTTGTGCATTGCCCTGGTCTCTACCCACCAATGTCCGTGGACATCCTCACAAACAATACCAGAAATGTCCTCAGAGTTGTCTCCTAGGGGACCAGTTGCCCCAGTTCTGAATTGGCTTCACTGAGGGCTGGCAAGGAGGCTGAGAGCTGCCCTTTCCAACACAATAATCCTTATAATGGAATCATCCAATCCCACACAATTCAGTCCTAAATGTATGTAAGGGGAGATTGACTCTTTCTACAAATTGCAATTGTCTCTACACTAGAAATTTAAATATTTATTCATTTTGATTATTAATTTTTTTGTTTTGGGGCCACACCCACTGTTGTTCAGGGCTTCCTTCTGACTCTGTCCTTCCTGGTAGTCATTGGGGAGCCATATGTGGTGCCAGGGACAAGTCAGGGTCAGCTGCAGGCAAGGCAAGCCCCTTAGCCCTGTACTATATACTATACTATAACCCTGTACTATAACTCTATTTCCCAAATTCAAACATTTAAAGAAAATAATTGGGGTGGGGTGGTGGGAAGGTAGTGTCCTTACAAATCTGATTCCCCTGATGGGTCTTTCTGATAGTGAATGAAATAAAGAAAAAAGCCAGCATTTTCTCTCACTATTCTGGGATGAAGAATTCGATTCTTCAACTCATGAATACCCTTAATATGATGAAGCCACTGTGGAGACTGGATAATGTGGTACCAGGTGAGGTACTTCTCCTTTAGTATTTAAACTGGTGGCTCTTGTTATTGATTCTTGACCAGTAGTAGCTCATCTTTTATATTATGGGTAAATTCATTTTTAAAAAGTCCCTTTTTAAAAAGGCCAACTTACTCCTCAGTCAAATCACACTCATTTCCCCCCAAGATGTCAAAATACATTTATTTCTCACTTTTAAATGATCGTGCCCTTAAATGCATTTTCATATTCTTGCAATGGAAGACTGACAAAAAGAAAAGAAACCTACTTAGATGAGGGGACACATCAGCTGGTTAGAGTTTAAGTGGAGCTAGAGTAAGGGCCAGCAAGTATCTGCCTGACCCACAGCTATCCTTCAACAGATCAGTCCCCCTGGTGCTTCTCAGCATATTTGCATGACAACCCATATTGATTGCCACCTCTTGGAAATCAAAACGAATGAGAAGCCAGCAGCTTATATCCTCTGGTTACTTACCATTCATCACTGTCCCTGAAGGTTGTCCATGGATGCAGGCATCAGCTGAGGTTGAATGGGGCTTCTCTCTCTGCAGGTGTTCCATTCTGAACTTTCCTGTTTATGTGACACTTTCCTGGAATGTCGCTAGATGCATCAGTGCTCTCCTATTAGTTCCCGACCAGGCCCAAGACCCTGAACCAGCTCAGACTTCTCAGGGATTTTCCCAGGAGAGGGACCTCTCTCCAGAGCTCTAAAGGTTATGTTACAGTATTGTGGAGTTTTGTTGCTTAAAGTCTTCCTTCTGCCCTCACTGGGCAGTTTTGCCAAAGTCTGATCATCACTTTGGGGGATTTGTTGAAATGCTAAGAGACTGTGTTGAAGGAATCCATTCCTAATTGCATGTGAGATCCCCCTGCTCCCTGCAATGTATGCACTTGTGCACATATATTTGAAACTGAAATTTGTTCAGTGGTGCTGTCAATAAAACGTTTTTAAAACAAATGCGTAACTGAGATTATGTCTGTGGGAATCAAACCGATCATTCTTTTGTCTTTTATTACATCCTCTTATCAGCTTATTAATCATTCCTTGGGTTGAATTTCTTTCTCTTTTTTAAAAAAAGCATTTAATGAGATGGTACAGTGGGGGAAGGCACTTGCCTTGGACGTGGCCAACCTGGTTTCAATCCCCAGTATCCCATCTGGTGCTCAGGGATCACTCTTGGTAAAGCTCAGAGGATTGTATGAGGTGCTGGAGATGGAACCTGGGTTGGCAGCATGCACGGCAAGGGCCCTATCTACTGTGTTCAGGGTCAGTAGCTCTTGTCCTCAGTAAGTACTTCTTTTTTATTTTATTTTATTTTATCAAATCGGTGTGAAATACAGTAACAAAGCTTTCATGTTTGAGTTTCAGTCATACAATGAACGAACACCCATACCTCCACCAGTGTGCATTTTCCACCATCAAGGTCTTCAGTATCCCCACCCCCGCCTCTAAGAGTAAGACAATTTCCCTCTTACTCTTTCTCTATTTTTTTATGTAGGAGTACTACTATTTATTCAGCCACTGATTAGGCTGATTGAATTGGGTATGAACTCCACAGTAAGTACTTCTTAAGTGAATAAACAAATGCATGATTGAGTGAAGAGATGTAGCTTTTGGTGTTACCACTTCTGGCCCTGGGCGTGTTATTAGACTCCATTGAGCTTCAGTTTCATCAAGTAGAAAGGAGTTGACTTGGAAAGGCTGAGTTACCTTTATGTGGGGTGGTGGCAGGTGACAGCCAGTTGGCAAGGTGGCCGGAAGGATCAGTGGGTCTCACTGGCTCCCTTGCTCAGCCTACTGTCCATGCTCTTCCCGTCCTTCTCCTGCCTGTTTCCAGCTCTGCAGCTTCATTTTATCACTTAAACACCATTTAATACTTAAAAAAAAGTACTAAATATCAGTACAAAAAAAAAACCCACAGTGAAAGCATAGTCCAGAAGACTTGGTGTTCCTAAACTCAGCCTTTGGAGTGGGCCTGTGGGTGGGGAGCAGGGGCAGTGCTCAGGATGGCCTGACCTCAGGCCTCAGGAATACGTACAGGAGGGACGTGGGGTGAGGAAGGAGCAGAGTATTGTGGGGGAGCAATATTATCCCCACACCTTCCCCCCATCCCATGCTCCATGGTATCTCCCCAGCATGTGTGGGCGGCTGTGCCCGGTGTGGGAACTCGCGCTTTTCCGTGTTCTCAGCCCGTGGACTCCCCAAACACACTGGGTGCTTATCAGTTCTTTTTTACTCATTTTCGATTTACAGTCAGACCCGGAGGTGCTCAGGACTTGCTCCTGGTTCTGCACTCCGGGAACACTGTTGGCAGGGCTCAGGAGACCTTCTTCTGCGATGGACCCTGGAATGCTGTGGGGAGAGTGTCACACTGACAGACCTGTGGATGGCATCAACCCTGCCCCTGTGAGCTGCGGGACCCCAGGAGGGACCTTGTCAGTGTGTCAAAAAGCAGCTGCCAAGAATAAATAAATAAATTAGAAATAGGGAAATCTGCCCTGAAAGAGGGTTGTGAGGATCCCATCCAGGACCTGGGGGATGTGGGAGTGCTCAGCATAGAGCCTAGCCCAGGAAATGCTGGATGCTGAAACTCTAAGATGCCCACTATTCTCAGCCTTTACTCCATCTTAACCCTCTGCTTATAGTAGAAATAACCAAGTGTAGACTAGTGGGGTTCTTTTTGGGTAGATGGGGTGAGGGTGAGGAGACAAAGAGAAAGAAGCCCACAGACGTGGAGCATGAGGTCTGCACGCTGGGGGGTAGGCTCAGCCCCCAGCACTATACAGGCCCCCCCCACCCCCTGCCACCCCAGCTTGGCCAGCAGCAACCCCTAACACAGAGCCAGGAGGTAAAAAATGCTGGCAGTTTCTGCTGGCAGTTTGTCTGTCTGTCTCTGTGACTGTGATCAGAGGTCAAACATGCTCTCACTTTAGCCTTGTCTCATTTCCTTATACCATAGGATAATTTTGGGGGGAAAAATCAAAGAGTTTTGGGCTCGGCAGATAGAGCAAAGAGCTGAAACTGGTACTTTGGTGTCCAAGGCCCTGATCCCTGGCACTTCATGGTGCCCCCAGCACTGCTGGGTGTAACCTTACTGGCCCCTACTCTGGCCTCCAGAGCACTGCACCATCTGGTTGAGGGCAGAACCACTGTGTCTGCTTAGAAGATTCCTAGTTGCTCTCACTCACTGTTCTGCCACGATCATGAAAATATCACAAGCTACGGGGTCCCAGTAACCTGCGTCCCAGCAGGGAAGACCACTCGGACCACTGGCCACATGGCCAGGGAGCTGCCTGTCCATCACTGGTCAACTGATGTGTGAGTGTGCGAATATAAAAAGCAGAGCATAGCTCACGTCACTCTCCATGTCCTGGAGCTGCTCCTCACCCTTTCCTTGCAGTAC